GACATCACAAAATTTTTAAAGATCAAAGCTGACAGAAAAGTAATGAGTTGGAAGAGATTTACACGAACGGGATGTATGAGAGAATAAACTCTTATCATAGAACTGTAAAATGATGAGACCTACCTGACAATCAAGCACTGCCATTGAATTCGTGAAGTCAAGGTACCAAAGAGAAAGACTCGTCAAAACAATTATAAAATCAGTCATGCATCTCACCTTGCGCAGTTTTACATTCAACGAAGGCATGATGCACTTTGGTGCAGGACACGTTACGCTTCAGCAAGTCTGGGCAAATTTGCCTTTATCTACGCAGTTGTATTTTGCTTGCAAATGTTTAATGCGCTCATATGCTCCTTTCTGCAAAATCGGAGTAGCACAATCTCATTAACAACATCTTCCTTTAACGATATTTGCCTTGTGCCATACTTGACTATGATAAATAAATATAAAGAAATAGCCTGTTTATTCCAAATGTCTTTTGTATTGAACACCTGTTTTACCAGGTCGTGGCACGCTCTGCAAAAGATTTGTGGATCATTTAGAGATTCCTACACTTTTTTTTCGTAAAAAACAGAATTTTATTCTCTTATTTTATCTTGAAAATAAATGATAAGACAACGCTTAAAAGAAGAAAAAAAATCTTAAAAAGTTAAAACGTAGAATTTCCCACCTCCGCCATTCTACGACACCAATGCAGATTTAAAGATGGTGCTATATATGGTAATTCTTGAGTACTTTAGCAATTCAAGAAAAGAATCTCACAAAACTTTCGATAGATAGATCTGAACTGACAGAGATAGATAGATAGATAGATAGATAGATAGATAGATAGATAGATTCGTGCTATTTTGTTAGTATTACCCAATGTTTAATTTCTTACCTCCACCAATTTTGCTGTTTTTCAATCTATTTTGGTAGTAAATCCATTAGCAATACAGTATATATATATATATATATATATATATTAAAATTGTAATCCTTATTTTGGCAGTAAATCCATTAGGAATACAGTATATATATATATATATATACCAGTACAAAAGAATTCTCCTATTACCATATTAGTACAAAAACGCACAATCTTAAAATTTAAAAATTCAACCTCAGCGTTGCGATTGCACGCTCCCAAAAAATTTCTTACAATTAACAATAACACATTTCTAAAACATTTTTTAGGATTATATCTATATTTTCGTTGTCCTGCTATTACCGAGAAGTAAAAAACAAAAACAAATCTATTTCCATACTTGATGATGTTTGTAGGAACAGACGAAAGCTTGTAAAAACTAAAAAAGACCTCATGCAACTGGAATTTATAAACAGGGATCATAGCACATTCATGTACAGGTTTGGAGTTAATGTACTTTATTAAATTTGTTTGCGCAGATGTATTCTCGCCATTTATATCATTAACTTCTATATCTGTTTTTTGTTTGAATGATTCATGTAATGTAAATTGAACTGCACCACATACTTGATATATATATATATATATATATATATATATATATATATATATATATAGTAAAATGGTAATCCTTATGGAATTTCCACGAGGATAAAGATCCAAGGAGATCTCTATGTCGGAGACAGACCAAAATTATTAATTAATGAATATCAAACACTTAAAATACCATAGGTAATAAGCTTTATTTGATGGAAGCTATAAAAGTAACCTTCAAACTTTCAGGCCTGCAAAACATGGATTTTCATTGTTTGATATCCATTAATTATATATATATATATATATATATATATATATATATATATATATATATATATATATATATATAAAAAATACTTTTACAAACTCTGAGGTGGTATGCTAACAACACAAAAAACAAGGCAAAATACCCTTATAAACATTTGTCCAAAACGGAAACGTTGTACTTCAACACAGCAACTCATAAGAGATGTTAAAAATGTCTTCTGCTTGCTTCTACAGACGCATGCACATGTTGAATTATTGACTGACAGAACCTTTCAAAAAATCCCACACGGTGTCGAATGGTGTCGCAGACCCCCATGACACGTTAATGAAGCGTCTCTGCATTATTAATATCTGCTGCATAAACCAATTTTAGCTCGCACCATAGCTAAAAATCCAATGGATTGAGGTTGGGGGGCCATATTTACCTCTCTATCTTTCATAGTAGATGTCAGCCATTACATCGCGAACAATGTGACTAAAATATACTGAAGCCCCATCATCTATAAACCACATGTGTCTTCTGCATCAGCAGGGGTACATCCTCTAGCAGGTCTTAAAATGTGTTCGAAATAAAGTCCTTGCAAATCCAACCCATGCATTAATCGTAAACTGCTGCTGATTTATCCTGTCTTGTACCATGGGGATTCCAATCCACCTACAAATGTTTGTGTAAATTTCTTATTCTCTTTCAAATGTTGTCTCATCCGTAAACAAGACTGAAAGGAACAAACAACGGATCGGCAGTTTGTGTAATAAACTATCGGCAAAAGTTCTCCCGTGGCGAGCGGTCAAAGCGCGAAAGACCCTGCACACGTTGCAAATGCTGCGGATACAGGAGCTGCTCTTGAAGCACCCTTCATTCAGCACTATGGGATGTACGATATGCTGGAGTCACTTGACGTGTTCTGATACCTGGCTCGCCCCGATAGCCTGTCGAATGTGTTCTTCGCAGTCAGGCGTACGAGAGGATCACGGTCTTCCTCGATGCAGAGTTAGTGAAGCCACGGACTCTGTCTCAGCAAACAGGTTGCATAACTCGAACGCCTTCGATCTGGAAACGTAATCTGATACAGTTGTGCAGCCTCGCGTCCATTACCATTCGCTCGGTCGTATGTAAAAATTATATCTGCCTGATCGCGATATGAATACTCTGACATTGTTACAAGGACTACTTCTCAGTTAACTCACTACACGTTAAACATTGAAAACAGACAAGCCACAAATGTACACGAATGACAAATGTAACATAGTCTACGTGGCAACAAAGCACCTTCTACCGTAAACATTCTTTAAAATGAATAACTCAAGAATAAAGGATTTATATAGCATTTTGTCCTCGTTTTGGTGTGAAGAACTTGTCCCCAAAGTTTGTAAAATTATTTCTGACACACCCTGTATAAAAAGGGTGCGATGTATAAATTGTCGTCTAAATTTCGCAATAATAAAGATAATATTGATATCTCATTTCAACATACATATCTACCAAAATTACACAAAAATATCTTTAAATATTAAGAGTAATTTTATCCAGTCACGGCCTCCAGAGAACTGCGGAATCTCCTGCAACTCTTTTGGGTGGTCTCGCTCAACCGCGCACCACAAAAAATTATCAATGTGGTTGCAGTCTGGGGATTTACGTGGCCAGTTGTAACGGGTGATGTGGTCACAGAAATTATCTTACAACTATCACTGGGTTCTCCTGTTTGTGTGGCATGGTGCAGAATTCTCTTACCAGACATAGGGTCCTCCAGGAGCCACCACTTTGACCCAGGCTAGCATTAACTCCTCAAAGCATTGATGTAAGCTTCCGTGTTGTGTCCGAGGCCCTGTGAGAAGATGAATGGAGGCATAACGTCCCCATCTCTAGTGATCACTCCAGACACCTTCGTAATCACCATTAGACTCATCCAACTCTTTCCGAATTCTCTGCACTGACCTCAGATTTACACCCAAACACTCTTAAATGTTCGTATTGAAGCCAAGCAGTATAGCATACCGTTTCCGCATTTCTGGAGGAGTGAATTGCGTTATGGTGTCTTTTTTCTCATAAACGGTGCCTAACTGATTCTACTATACTGTTTGGATTTACAATTGTGATAGCGATGTTATTCACTGGGCCCCAGACTCAACACGAAGGCCTACATCAAGTGACTTGAAGAGATAGTGTTGCCCTGGGTCAAGAGGGTGACTGCTGGAAGACCCTATGTCTGGCAATAGTACTCTGCACTATTGCACACAAGCAGGAGAATCCAGTTGTTGCTATCAAACAATTGCTGCGACCACATTACACTTTATATCTAGCAACCTAACTCCCCAGACTGCAACTCCGTTGATTATTATGTGTGGGTGCAGATGAGCTAGAGACCAACAAAACTCAGTGTAACACCAAAGATGAACTAAAAGCAAGGATTATGGTAGCATTCGCCAACTTAAAAAAGGAGTCCTTTCAATAGAGGTGCAGGTAATTCCGAAGCCGCCTGGAGGCCGTGGTTGAAAACAAGAGGCGAAATTATTGAATAAATTTACTCTTTTTGTATTTCGAGACATTTTTGTGTGATTTTGGTAAGTATATCTGTTAAAATGATAAATCAGTTTTATTATAATAAAACTGATATTCATCCATCTCACCTTATATATATATATATATATATATATATATATATATATATATATATATATATAGAGAGAGAGAGAGAGAGAGAGAATGAGGGGTGAGAGATTAATAAAACTGATATTCATCCATCTCACCTTATATATATATATATATATATATATATATACAGAGAGAGAGATAGAGAGAATGAGGGGGTGAGAGAGTAATAAAACTGATATCATCCATCTCACCTTATATATATATATATATAGAGAGAGAGAATAAGAGAGAGAGAGAATAAGAGAGAGAGAGAATAAGAGAGAGAGAGAATGAGGGGGTGAGAGAGAAAGAATCAAAGTCAGTGTCAGTCAGTGAAAGTGCGGAGGAGAAGTGGGTCAAAATATCAACACTGAATGGTTATTCGCATTTCGACGTCTCCAGTGATCTTTTTCCAAAATCTAAAACCGCTCATTCTCCCCCACGGTCGATATTGTGCATCCACCATCCCACATATGGATAAAATGTTGAGCAATAAATTTATCTTGCGCTCACGTCTGTGTGTCTAACTGTCTATGTATCTATATCTCATCTGACCGTCCGTTATCAGTCAATATTTTCATCTACATAGATATCCACAGCCTGCGACTCGTAGCCGCCGCCTATGAGTGAAAAGGAATCCATGTTTTCTTCGATTCCATGACGTGTCCCGCCTGTGGAAACTTTCCCAGTAATTGTGGCACAGTTCATTTGTATTCTTTCCCGCGGTGCAGTCGAGCGGAACGTGTTCACTGTCCAAGAAAAGTTTGCAACGTCCAGTCGGCATTCCGAAAGACTCGAGGCGCAAACAGACTGACCAGTAAGAATAACAAGTGATTTTCAAAACCCGATAACTTTATATGATGGAAAGTTCCACCATATATGCTATGTTTATTTTCCAAAAAGAAAATATCTTCCAAAAATAGCAAAAAAAAAACCTAACGAAAAAAGATGTTATACTGTTTATGTTTATAAAGTAGGTGTGCCTCGTATTCAGGGTCATCTGAAAACCGAGTTCAACTTGGCACCTCAGAACAATTTCAATTAACAGGCATATGCTCGTAAAAGCCAGCGAATAATTATTTAACAATGTTTTGTATTTCGCTATTTACATTATTCGGACTATTGTCCTCATCTTTGTCGCCATGTTTATTACAACGTTACGGCCGTTGTACGCTCCGGCCTTCTTCAGGTAGTTGGAATGTCGAACTGGACTGAACCCATTATTTCTCTCACTGAGGTAGATTGTTCTAGTTCCACGTGCCATGTTTAATGGATGTCAGTTATCAGTTACCTCTAGTTAATTCCCCTCTCCAAGTTCTCCACTGCCTTAACTGGGTATTGAACTCACATTCTTTGGCATTGGTTAGATCCAGTGACAACAAAAAAATGGTTGCTAATGAAATTAGGTTTATAATATCCAGAAATTCATCCACAGATGTCCTCAAGAACACATGGCACATTGGATGAAGGTGTTAGTTACATCCCGTGACAAGACCCAAAGAGTGTGAGTTCAATACACAGTTAAGTCAGTGGAGAATTAACAGGAGATAACTAATAACTAACATACATTAAACGTGGCACGTGGAACTAGAACAGTCTACCCCAGTGAGCGAAAAACAAGGGGTCAGTTCGACATTCCATGTACCTGAAGAAGGCCGGAGCGTACAACGACCGAAACGTTATAATAAATATGACGACAAAGATGAGGACAATAGTCCGAACAATGTAAATAGTGTATATAATACCTCATGTCAGAAATATAGACAGGTTTTGTATTTCTGTCTGAATTTCTGAGATGGGAAATGATCATTATTTAGCCTCTTTATAGTCGGACTAATGTCGTCAAGTTTTTTTTGTTGTTACGGAACAATGGCCTAGTGGATTATGGTGAGTTCAATCACTGTGTCGGACAGTATGACCTTGCTATCTGTGGAAACGGGCAAGAAATAACTGAACAGTATTAATAAAATAGGAAAAAGAAGATATTCCTAGATGCGAGCATTGGAACAGTTAATTAAATAAAGGGTTCAGTTCGAAAACCCCTTTAGGTTACCCATATTAAAATAAACCTTAGGAAATCTAAATATTTTCAACACAATTTCAACGAAATATATTTTGAACATAACTTTAATAAGTGTTCAACTATAGAGAAAATGTATTGTTTTAAATTTTGTTTACATAAAAAAATGTATTGTTGGGATTTTTACTATAAAAATGTATTTTTATAGTTTGTGGGGGGGGTCAGAATTTGCCTATAGCTGGGACCTTAACAGGTGCTACCACCCCGGGTCATCGCGAACCTGGGAACAACAACCAGAGGTGATTTCACGTTTCTCAAAAGCTCCATATCAGAGGCCTTGCTTCCGGACGTGGTTTAAATTCATACCCAAAAGTAGCGGATCGTCAATGGCTGACAGATTAAGAGCGATAACGAAAAGACAAAATTTGCTAAGAACTACAAAAGACAGAAAATTGTAGAGAGCCCTGATTGCCCACGCTCTGTAGAGGCACACCACACAGAAGAAGAAAAAGAAAAAGAAGAAGATATCACGACTCATATTAACAACTTTGAGATACTGTCTATATTTCTGAAATGAGGTATTATGAACATTATTTACATTATTCGGACTATTGTCCTCATCTTTGTCGCCATATTTATCGCAACGTTTCGGCCGTTGTACGCGCCGGCCTTCTTCAGGTGTTTGGAATTTCGAACTGAACCCTTTATTTCGCTCACTGGGGTAGACTGTTCTAGTTCCACGTGCCATACATGGAACAGTGGATAATGGCGTTGGTTAGATCCAGTGACAGGACCAAAAGAGTGTGAGTTCAATTGCAATGGAGAACTTTCAGAGGGAAATGAGCAGGAGATAACTGATAACTGACATCCATCAAACATGGCATCCATTGACATAACAAAAATTTATTTATTATACACGATTCGTATTTACACATCATTATGAGTCTTTCTTATAGTTACTAAATGTCTTTCGTCAGACACTATTTGAAAATAGAAACATGCAGAAATTCATTTTGTTTGCAACCCAGACATTGAAACTTGAGACAAGTCGTTTTTATAAGTGTTCTTCACGCCAAAATCGATTATTCCTAACTATTTGAAGAGATTAAATCAATAATCCAGGATGTCAGAGCAGCGGGCAACTCAGAAGACGTTCAATAATTTGACCAATAATCACCTGTCGCTTATTGTCTGCTAGTGACATCAATATAACAATTTGCGCCAAATGATCAGTGACTAATTTCAAAATGGCGACTCTGATTGCTAATATTCTCTGCCGATCGCGTAGCGGATCACTTGATATTGACGTCATTTTTATAACTTTTCTGAAGTGGCGACTGAAAGGCAGCTACTATTATGACTCGACCTCTTTTCCCCAATTTTAACAATTTATCAGCGCACACACATAATTCTTACCAAATTTAGCTTAGTCAACGATCTTCATCTAATAATTCCTGACGAGTGTACCGAACAATTACACAAAGGTTCGTCTACAAAACTCTGGAGTAAAGGTGCTGTATATAACATCAATCATCTAACTAACAATATTTATATTTGTATTAATGATATATATATATATATATATATATATATATATATAAAGTCAAAAGAAAACCATATCTTAGACTACCACGCGTTTCGTATTCTTAGTGACACTATTAATGCAGATGTAAGGATTTTCTTTTGTGACAAGTATTTATAAACAAGAGCAAAAATTTTATTGGTTTTTTAAAAATTTTAGGTATAGGAGTGTTCTTGAATATTCATCAGGTTAACGGAAAATCAGACAAGGTCATGGAGATGAGATGATACTATTCAGTGTCTAATAAACGAAAATGAATAGGCGATTTACATATATATGTATATATATATATATACAGTGCTGTTCGATAAAAGTGTCTCACCTTATCCTTTGAATTTAGCTCAACTTTCGTTTCATTGAACAAGAGAACATTCTTCCAGTCTTCTACGTTGAAATGTTTGTAATAGTGAGCCCATTCAAGTCTCTTGGCTTTGTTGGCTTTGCTTATTAGCGCCTTAAACCTTCGTGTACAAGATTTGTAGCCTTGTTCTAACAGCCACCGACGGACTGTTGACGAGGCAAGCCTAACACCTTGCTCTTCGCTTAGACTGGCTGCAATTTCTTGGCTAGTTATAGTCCTATTCTTCGCAACTTCTCTCTTGATTACCCTGCCAGTTCTTGGAGCAGGAGTGGCATCATTATGTGCCCTAAACACTCGAGAGACTGTGATATTGCGAGGTTATAGCAATTTCTGCAATTTCTCTCGTAGACTTGCCTGCTTTTGAGAGGGCAATAATAGATGCCTTAAGTGGTTTTGATGCATGTTTCTACCCTTTCATCTGGTTAGTGACATGAGTGGCTATTTCAAGCTGTTTTTATACTGTATGAGGCTTTCTGGAATATTCTGGAATACTCTAGATTTAATTCAAGCTGTTCTAGAATTCTCTAGAATATTGTTCTGAGTGTATTGTTAAAAGTTTTCAATATTTTGTCAAAAGCGCTTTAAATTTACCAGTTTAATCATTAGAATGCGATATCTGAGTCACTTTTTTTGCATAGAGTTTTTCCTGAATCACATTTATATCCAAATTTATAATTAACAATAGAATACCTTAGGGTGAATAAACTTTTTTCCGAGGTGGTCGGGAAGGGGTCTTTATATTAGTAAGATTAAAAAATGAACCCTAAAACAATAGACAAAAAAATATTTTTAGTAATAAAAATCAGGTGAGTCACTTTTTATCGAACAGAACTATATATATATATATATATATATATATATATATATATATATATATATATATATATATATATATATACTATGTGTGCCTATATATTGATAATTGATATAATAGGAAATAACTGTTAGATGTTTAGTTTTAAAAAACAATGCTCGATACAAAAGAAGAGCCTAGATTATATATATATATATATATATATATATATATATATATATATATATATATATATATATATATATATATATATATATATAGGTGACATTGAGGACGAAACTGCCACCAAGTACCAGTAGTAATGATTTCATATTGGAATACTTAAGTACTGCTGACAAGTTTTTTGCAACATAGTAATTTCTGTGTGCAATGGAATCATATTTCTTTTTTAAAAATTATACATATATATATATATATATATATATACTTTTTGCTATCCATTTTAGTTGTTACTGCTGTTGTAAGTTTTGAAGTGACGTTTGATTTGTTATTTGCTAAAGCAAGCTCTTTGTTTGGGATTTTACAGCGTCGGTCTGTGAGATCTGATAAATGATTGTCTTTTTACGATACCAAGGATTTATTTTTTTAAGGAATTTTTAATCATTAATCTGAGAAAATTGTGGTATACAGACCTAGACGATTTATTCCCATGAACCCCATTTTTTTTTTAAAAATAAGTTAGGAAGTAGTTGAAAGTTTAGATATTTCTGAACAGGTTGAACGCCATGTACGACAAACATATGAAAGTCTCGATCAAACGCGGCTATTTAAGAACAAGCCAACATTATCATTCGAACCTCTCCCATATTACTTCAGGCATATAATAAAACATTTTCGGAGATCCGGAACATTCTAGAAACTTCTATGTGAAAAGACAAATAAGTCTACCAACGTTTTTAGTTCGTGTTATTTATAATGGTGCTGCCAAACTCCAGACACGGATGTAGACATATAAACTGCGACAAAAGTATATTAGGACCACGACTTTGGATATAACACAAAATCCCTGGTGTTCCATATTTCCTTTGCCAGCTAGTCTT